AAATCAATTATTTTTATACACGTCTATAATTAATATACAGATTGAGTTAAAAGAATTAAAAAAAAAAAAAAATAAAGAAAACAGACATTTATATATTATACTTATTGTTCTTTTAATTATTGACTCACTCTGTATATATATAAATATATATTTTGTTGTGTTTATAAACGAATACGCGCGTGCGTTTGTCCTGTGGCTCGTGAACGGTGTACTGTATATGCACAAATTTACTATCATATTTCACAATTTATTTATAAGAAGAAAAAAAAAAGAAGAATTATTATATTATATTATTGTATATCACAAAGTTTTATATAAAAAAAACGTTTAAAAAAAAACATTGTTGTTAATTATTCTTCTGTATTATTATATATATATATTTTATTTTAACATAAATTTCAATCCTTTTTATTGAAACCTCAAAACCTCCCATAATTTGATCAGTATAAATAAATCATAATAATCATAATATCATTATAATTAATAAATATTATAATAATTAACCCTTAGATTGCTATGGACGTATATATGCGTTTGATAAAAATTACCAGATTGGTTTATCAACGCATATACGTGTTTGTTAATATATTCATGTAAAATAATGTAATGTTTATATTAATTCATTAAATTATATTCAGAAACAAATACTTTTATTAGACTATAACCTTTAAAAATAACATAATCAAATTTTAAGTGCACATCTCAAAAATAATTTTTGAGTTACAGTCATCTAATATTTCTTCATTTACAATGATCAAATCACTAACTTAAACTTTAAAACGCGTTTTCCTCGAAACTATTAGGTGAATCGGAAAATAATGTCGCTTTTTAACCTCAAAATTCGAACGAGTAAATTTTGCAAACAAAAACGTTTTTATTATTAATCAATCATTATAATTATTTATATTAAATTAATTAATCACGTTGTGTCAACTAAACCTTTTTCTATCTGGTATGCAAATTTTTTTTAATATCGTAACGATAAAAATCATCAATCGGTTTTTTTTTTTTGATTGAAATATTAATATCAAAATTTGACGTGCGTAGTAACGACATTACTTTTCGGTCCTCCTAAATACATTTTCCAAAATTTGCTGCAGTTACAACTCGAAGACGAATCATCCGATCGATTTGATTCTTGTTGCAACTTTTTTTTATATACATTTCTGCAAACCATGAAACCGTCCAGTTTATCGATCGAATGAAAAAATGTAATTTTGGCAGGGCCCAAAAATCATCAAATTTTCGCGCAAAATTTGAAACGTTTATTTTTCAAAATCCATCATTTTGTTCAATTTCAATTTTTCACCGAGGTTCATGGTGCGGGAAATTTCTTCTTGTTTAATAAACTTTTTGGTCTTTTTGATTTCATGCACTGTGAAGGTCGCCATAACTGCAGCAGTTGGGGGACTTTTTTTAGGAACGGAACAGGAAAAAAGAAAAACAAAATATAACATTCGAGATAAAACATCACGTAATGCAATGAAAATCTCTCATTGGATAACTTTGAATAATCGCTAGAGTGGTTTCTAGAGAATTTTCGTTGAAAATGGTTTGTTCATTCTTTCTCTCTCTCTCTCTCTCTCTCTCACTCTCTCATAAAGTTACAGCTTAAAACGTCGAGCCATCGTGTATTAAAGCTCGTCGTTATCGTTACGTTTTACTCGGTATAGCTCGTTAAGCTCAACGCCTACGATGTAAACGTGTTACTCGGTGGGTAGGTGGGTTGGTTGGTTGGTTGAGGTAGTGCGAAGGGAGAGAGAGAGAGAAGGAGAGAGAAGAGATGAGGGTCGAGGTAAGGGATGGAAGCTTTGGTGAGAACTAGTGAGAGAGAAAAGGGTGAGGGGTAAAGGGTAAAGGATTAAGAGTGAGGTGTGGGTGGCATAGTAGGTAGCAGGACGTTGCTGGTTGCTGGACGATGCGACCTATGACTATGAGTGAGAATGAAAAGAGACAAAGATAGATAGACGGATAGATGGATAGATAGATAGTCAAGGATAGTTGTCGTTGTAGTAGTAGTAGTAGTAGTTTCTGACGTAGAAAATAAACCCCTCGACACGTCCTTTCGCGAGGAAAATTCGCAATAACGGAATTAGGTCCTACGCGAGTTCAGGAAATTAGCTTCGTTCTCTCGTCAACCCAACACTATAGGTTAAAGTTTTAATTGTGTTCGGTAACGTGCACGCGACATTCACGATTTTCCTCCTACACCTCCTCCTACACCTCCTCCTACACCTCCTCCTACTCTTAATCTCCTTACTTCCTTTCTTTCTCCTCGTATCTTAAATTTGAACTTTTTTCCGTATAATGATCATCTTAATCCATTGACTGCCAATTACGAGATATCTCGTAGCGTGTGCTACAATTTTTACATTAATTATAAATTGGTATTTGCGTTAAGAATTAATAAAAAGGTTAAATAAAATATTAATATGATGTAAAAAACATGATTTATCAATTATTGTAAGTACCATTACAATATTATATCAGTAACTTATCACTATGACATCCGGTGGCTCCACGTTGGTGCCATACAAAAACTTGGCATTTCCATTTTGACATTTCGATGACCTTCACTTAATAACTTTTAACGCAGAATAAAAAAAGAAACAAATGATATAAAAAAAAAATCATGTGGGCAAATCACACGTGATAGAAGTGAGACCTTCGAAATACTAAGTTTTGAGAGAATAAGACAAATGCAGAATATCAGGTGTAGGATAATTATAGAGTTGTTACTTTATAAAAAAATTATTATAATATTGTTAACAAATATAAAAATAAATTTACGTTTTATTAACATATAATAAAAAACATATTACACAGTAGGCAAAATCTCAATTCGAAGAAACAGGACAAGTTGCTTATGGTAACTAAAGAATGTATGATAACTAAAAACCTCTCTTCATGAAAGAAATGCACAAACGCCTTCTGTCGAACTCTTTGAAACTTCCATAATATTTTCTTTTTGCAGGTTTACACGAAACTAGCGTTAATATTCGGTCAAAAGACACTCAAATAACAATTCACAAAATCCAATTGCAAATCATCTGAAAAAAAAATACAAAAATAATGTTACAAAAGTGAACTATTAAAATTATGCACGTCTAGTATGAGTAAAACCTCAACTACTACAACAAAAACACCTCACTACTTTTCGGAAAAAACCTCACTAATTTTCGGAAAAAACCTTACTACTTTTAGTAAAGTTACTCCGAAAGTGGGGTTTCTTCCGAAAAGTAGTGACGCTTTTTCCGAAAAGTAGTGAGGTTTTTAAGAAAGACCCTACGAACTTATCGGAAAGACCCTACGGACTTATCAGAAAGACCCTACGGACTTATCGGAAAGACCCTACGGACTTATCGGAAAAAAACAGACCACGCACCTTCTTTCTTTATTTCGACCGTCGGTTGGTTTGGACCTTATACTTTTGTCGCATACCTACGTGCCTATCTCTGTTTATTCTTTAACCCTTCTATTGTTTCTACCTACAAACATTTCTAGTATGGAAAGAATACGTGTCCACGCGTGCAGTATGTTGTTGCACACAAACACACGCATATACAACTAGGAGTGATAACTACGAAGCATAGTATAAAGAGCAGACCGATAATAGGAAAAACTATATAGCTGTATTCCTTCTCATTCTCTCGCTGGCTTAATCCTATATGTTTGTCTCGTTTTCTCTCATTATTTAGTATAGCAGCCGTTTCATATCGATGTATTTTCAAAAAAAAAGTAAGGTCATAGAAAGGTGACATGTAATGTGCCATATTACTTTTTCCTTTATCATTTTTCTCTATTGTTACTTAAAAAAAAGTTATTATCCGTTCCCGTTACAAGAATCACCCTATATATAATTATATCAATTCATAATAAAATAAATAAAATAATAATATATATTAATATATAATCAAATATAATCAAATAATTTATATAATAAAATAATTATATAATAAAGTAATAATAAAATAAGTAAAATAATAATATATAATCAAATATAATAAAAAAATTTATATATAAAAATAATTATTTTATATAATTTATATATATATATTATTATACTATTTTGGCATTCAGTATTATTTCTACATCTTGGCAAACGTTTAATCTAAAAATAATCTCGTCCCATATTCACAGAATATAACTTTTCTTTATAAAACCTACAAATAACTATCATTTCCTTTATTTCACACAAATCACACAACTTCGTTATTTATTCGTTGCAATAATAACGATCGAATAATTTCACATATATACAAAAAAAAAAAAAAAATAAAAAATAACACGTAGTATTAAATATTCCAACTTTGTGAAGTACAAGATTACGAAGAATACACCGAAAACATTGAATTACCAATTAATCAAATAATCTGAATCGAGATTATTCAGAAAAATATTTTTGCTCAATATAAAAATATAATAATAATAATTCTATATAAATGTAATAACAGAACGATAATACCCACAACAACTTTATATAAAAAAAAAAAAATTTTAATGAGAAAAAAATTACAATCATCAACCAAAGCCACACACACACACAACACTCTCAAAGAATAAAAGAAAAAAGAGAGAGAAAAAAAACAACATTTATATCGAAAATGTTGACTCATAAACGTTGCTCATCAGTTGTATTATTATAATTATACTACTATTAACAAAATATTTTCACAAGATAATACAAATTCGGATGAAAAACTAAACATTTTCATCGTATCTGTTATCAACATCGTGTTCAGAGAGTCTTCTTCTCCCCTACTACCTCATTCTCTCTCTCTCTCTCTCTCTCTTTTTCTTTCTGAATAATAATAACTCACGAGTAGAGAGAGGAGAGAGAGATACCACGTGGTTTCGATACGATAAAATTCTTTCCAAACGTATTCGTTCATAAAGAAACGAACTGACGAACTGTTCAGTCATCCTCAAAACGTTTTCTCTTTCTCCCTTCTTCTTCTTCTTTTTCTTTTTCTATTCCCTTTCTCTCAATATATATATATATATATATATATATATATATATATCTATCCCCCTCTCTCTTTATCTTTCCCTCACTCTTCACACAATTTCTTCTTACATATAGACGACAGTGATTCTCTCTCTATTTCTATTTTTCTATCATTTACTCAAGTGCATCTATTTTCATTCAGTGGTGTAAGACGAATAAATTCGTACGCCGTCAATTTTTTTTTTTTTTTTTTTACAACAACAATTTGTTCAACATAATCTAATCAAGGATTTGTTTGTTTGTTTGTTTGTTTGTGTGTAATCATGGCGTCGAATAATTTACGAACAGGTGAGTTGTATAAATATTATTTGACTTATTTCTATATTTAATGTTAAGTTGAATTAAGTCGAATTTATTGGCGTATGAGAAACTCTGACGAATTTGTTGTAGTAATATGAGAAACATAGTATATATATTATTGTATATGTGTGTATGTGTGTGTGTGTGTGTAAATAATTTCGCGTTTAAGGATTTGAAAGGAAACGCACGTTTTCAAGGATATTTCATTGGTTTAAATGATTCTCTTTCTCTTTCTATTATGTGTATTATGTATGATATAAACCTGTTTTTCTATATTGTAGTTAGTATTTAATAAGAAAATCTATGGAAACGTTCGAATCGGTTACTTAATCGTATATTTTATTCTTCTTGTCTTTTTAATTGTTCTTTCCTTCTTTTTTTTTTTTTTTTTATACTAGTTGATTATCGTGAGAATATTTATAAGGTTTCTATTATATACCTTATCGTATCGCATTATATTTTGTATAATACTTTATTAACTTTCTGATTCATTCAAAGATTCTTTTAGTTGTTATTGTTGGTTTTCTTTCTTTTTTTTTTTAAAGAAATCACGAAACTATAAACTATGTTTAAATACGAACAACTAATCGCTGATGGACATATTGAAGGTAAACGAAGTACAAGTACATTTGAAGTTTTCAATTTTGTAAATTGTTAAAATGTTTTTATTCATTGTAAATTTGTTTAATTGTTAAACGTCATTAGTTGTTTGTTTATATAAATAGTGACAGTGTTAATTGTTGTCGTAGTTAATTCATAAAAAATATATATTTAAAATAATTTTTCTAATTTATTATCTTGAATATAATTTTTAAATTCGGGTACAATACAATAATACAATAAAAAAAATTAAAAATTATAATATATTTATATACATATAATAATATATATATATATATTATAATTATAATATTTTATTTATTAAATTTTTCTAATTATATATATTAAATAAATGTTATATATTTTAATTATAAAATATCTACACGAATTTACAATTAAATAAATAAATATATACAAACGTGTAATTTTTAATTTATTGTAAAAAAAAAAATATTAGTTCAATGTTTCTTAATTTTTATTTACTTACAAATTAAATGCAAACCAAGAATAAAATATGTTTCAATTCATTGTAAATTGTGTAAAATATTTAAATTCATTGTAAATTGATTAAAATGTTCATTTAAATAAACAATAACAATTATTAATTGTGTTTGTAGTTAAATCATGAAATTAAAATGATCTGTTTTTTTTTTTTTTCCAATTCATTATCTTGAAGATAATTTTTCAAATCTTCAACTTATCGTACATAAATTATGTCGTACAATATCTACACACGTATTTACTTTAATTCAATAAATATACATAGGTATAATTTTTAATTTATAGTCTAAAAAAAAAAAAAAAAATTTTAATAATTATAAAAAATTAGTACAAAGTTTCTTAATTTGATCTACTTTCAAATTAATCGCAAATCAAGAGAGAGAAAGAGAGAGAGAGAGAGAGAGAGACACGTAAAGGATTTATAACTTGTAAATAGTTTCAAAGATTCAGTGATGTATTACTGTCATGGTTAAATACGGTTAGATTAAATCCACCTGTTCATAATTAATACACGTTTTCAGGTAAATGATAAACTTTTGTCAGTTTTATTATTCAAACACAATTTACAGTTTCGTACTAACACGTCACTCGCCAACTATATTTAAACATAATTTTTTATTTAATTATACATTAAAATTTATATCTATATATATATATTTAAATATAAACATTATATTATTATATATATTAACTATATCATATATTTTAATTATTAAAAATTATTTTATATTTAATTATGCACATATATATTGACTATGAATAAAAAATTATATTATATTTATATACACATAATATTATAATTGTAATATTTTATTTATTGAATTTTTATAATTAAATATATAATATAATATGTAATTATATATATATTATATATTTAATAATTATAAAATATTTATAAATATATTATAAATATTTTATAATTATTAAATTATAATACAATNATTAATAAGAATAATGAAAATACACATTATATATATAATATACACTATTATTAATTAATATGTATTTATTTTTATTATAATTATTAATCTAATGTATTAATACAAAATTATATTAATTAATTTTCTATTTAATTTATTTTACATTTAATAATATAAATTAAATGAATATAATTTTATATAACATTATTACATATATTATATAATACATTACTTTTCATACTTTCTAATATTTATCCATCATTTTCTATTTAATTTCTTAAAGTAATGTAAAAGATTTAAAAGTAACATGTGATATATAAATTTTCTAAAAGAAAATTGATATCAAACGTCTTGAACTTTATGAAAATGTTTTCGACATCTATACTTTCTTTCTATCTTGTTTTTTTATTTTCTCTCTTTATGAACATACTCACATCCACCTACGCTTAACATACATACGCACACACTCACATACACATTAAATATATATATATTATATGTATTTAGACTTCTGAAAGTTCGCTCAGCGTGATTTTCCAAAGTGCTTTAGGAATTATTTATTTTTTCGTATACGCGAATGGAAGCCGATCGTGCACGAGAACGGCAAACTTTCGTCTCACGTCACGATCGATTGACCCTCATCTTTCATGAATTTATATTTCTTACTTTTTGTCTTTTTTCTTTTCAAATTTTATCCCACTACGTTCTTTTGTATCCCTTAGGAAACGACTTATTCCAAATGTTCTTTCTTACTCAATAATGTTCTCGTTTTTTTTTTTTTTTTTTTTTTTTACCGAATACAAGATATAGTTTAAAACGATGACGTGATTCGCAACGAAAAATAATATCAGGTTGTCACATGGGTAATTTTGTTTCTTTCTAATTTCAAATAAATACACACAATATTTTCTGTTTAGGATATTTGAACCGTTTATTTGGAAAGTGACCTATGTACAGGATATTAATCAGTTATACAGCTTGAGTATATCTAAGGGTGTTCAATTTATAGTTCCTATTAAAATAGTGCCAATTATTATGCGTTTTCTAACCAAAAATGCAGTCAGATCACCACTTTCAAAATAAACAACCAGATTTCATTATAAACTTTGAAGTAACCCAAGTCCTCCATTCAACATAATTTAAGATGCTTCAAATTGAAAACAAAAATAATACTCAATTTATTTGACATATCTTTAAAACACTTCAGAAACATAATTGATGCGATTGAAAACATTTTTTAACTTACATCAATTACAAAACAATTTACTGCTCATTTACATTTTGCGTGTGTGAAAGGGATTTGAAGAAACCATGATATTCCAGGTGGTATATGTCGTAGTAGGTTCATTATGTCCTAGAATTTTGATGTTGTCATTTGTCTGATATTTTCATACACTGGTGTCAATATAATATTGTCAAACTTTTTTGCTCTACCCAGACGTGCTAATAAATTCAGGATTTTCAAATGTTCATTCTCATTCATCGATGTTTTATAGAAAATTTGATACGGTTTCATTTCTGACAAAACATATTTTTAAGCAGTTTATCGATTCTCAGTTAGAATTGTGTACCCTTTTTAAAAATTGTCTTTTTAAATAATTTTGTTCATACAAAAATCTTCTTGTTTCATTTGATTTACAATAAAGTTATTACCTTTCCAATACTTTCTGATAATATTATAATAATCTTTGTTATTGTTACAGGGTTAAAGGACTTATTAAAGGAAGAAAAATCGATACACGATACGATTTTGGCACTTTTAGGAGAGATCATTGGAACTGCAATTTTAGTATTTATCGGATGCATGGGTTGCGTAGCAAGCATGGGTAATACTCCACCAATCTATCAGATTTCTATGAGTTTTGGGCTAGCAGTCATGATTGCGATACAGGTATTTATTTTAACAACACCTCTATGCTTTTATTTTAAGCAAATAATAATTCAACGTAACTGGATCATCGTTAAAACGTTTCGTTACACCTGTACATGTTCAACTTGATCTTTAGGCCACGTGTACCACCGGCTGTACACTTATTAGACACATTTATTCAATACTCTGAAAATATATGTTTATAACAAATTTCATTCTGTACATGAATATTTCTATTCAAATATTGATGCATTATACAAAATGCAGTATAGAACAAAGTACATAAGTTTGTTTAATTGTTATATTTACAATAATTAATAATTACATGTAATGATTGATTTTGTTAAAGCAAGGGAAACATAAAGACGGCATTTTCGGGTAATCGCTGTAAAACGTCATTACTCTAATAGTTTTTTGTCTTGCTACTTTGGTACCGAAATTTTTGTACATTTTGTTTATAGCAAGAAATGCAACGTTGTCTAGCTGTCCTTTCTTTGCCCTCTTTCTTTTTAATTTCATGTCGTTTTTTAAAGTTTGTCGCAGTTTCAAAAGACAAGTTGTTATTTTCATCCTCACATTAACATAAATAATTAGTTAATCGTTTTCTAAATTGTACTATTGATAAAGGTCTTTGTTGCTGAGTATTATATAATATCCAAGCATTTATAACTGATGTGTTTAAGAGAAGCTCCAATTCTACGCTCCTTTGCGTTTTTTATTTAACAAATTCGAATGTAGCAGGTTTTTTACTAACCAAAAAGTTTCGACCCGATTGACATTTGCAATCAAACTGATCGCAGTGCCACGTGTACCACAAATGGTACACGATATGATTAGACTACTCTAAACAAGAGAACTACATATGTATTGATGATGTAATGAAATATTGTGCGATAATATATCAACCTTTAGTTAAAATATCAAATGACCTGAACGACAAGTCAGACAAAAATGGCTTGGCACGGAACGTGTTAATTACATACTAAATTGAATTTTTTCTATACTCAAATGAATATCAATTGTTATTAATATTTTATTTTATTCACAGTGCGTAGGTCATATCAGTGGAGCACACATAAATCCATCAATCACAGTGGCTAGTTTAATCCTCGGACTTAAGTCTCTACCAATGACCGGTCTTTACATTTTTGCACAATGTTTGGGTGGTATCTTCGGTTATGGTTTGTTAAAGGTCAGTTTTAGTTGTTTAAAAGAATAATTTTACTAACGAGAAAATTTCATACGAATAAATATGAAAACAAAATCAAACGAAAAGATTGAATAAAATATAATAATTAAAATTAAACGTTAAATGATCTAAGATTTTACGTTTTACGTGTTATATCAATGTTTGTTATAAAATTAATTTTTTTTTCACCTGATTGTGTTCAGATAATAAATCATATTCTCATTCTAATGTCATTATTTAAATCTAATACATTAACATACTTAATTAAATTCTGAACTTTACAGGCAGTAACTCCAAGTGGTATGTTACATGCTGGAAATCCAGATGATACTATTTCCTTCTGCAAAACTGACATTTATCAGAATATGAATATTTGCCAAGGATTGTTAGCCGAGATTATTGCTACCAGTATATTGGTATTCTTTGCATGCGGCGTTTGGGATCCACGAAATGAAAAGAATTCGGATTCGGTATCACTGAGATTTGGATTTTGTGTTTCCGTTCTTTGCTTCGTCTTCATTCCTTACACCGGGTGCAGCTTGAATCCAGCCAGGTCAATCGCACCAGCTATTTGGAATGGATATTGGAAAAATCATTGGGTCTTTTGGATTGGTCCGATTGCTGGTGCTGTTCTAGCATCTACGGTTTATCGTTATTTATTCTTGCCAAAAACTAAAGAAAATGTTGAAAATCATCAGGATACTTTGACCGGAGTAGAAACGTAAAGCGAGTAAGTATCTTCAAATCATTTTCTAGGTTATGTAATAGCTACAAATTAACACATTTATGTGTTACACAATTCATTGACGAGAAAACAGTAAAACGGTGATGTTAACACTTGCCATACAGCGGGTATACTTCACCGTCAATTTATGCGTGCAGCGGACGTTTTTTTCGTGAATCGCGCTCAAGTTAGATCAAAAAATTTCTGCTAGCTTATTTTGTGGATTTTTGTCGAATTACATACTACATATACATTGAAAAATGTACAATTTATCATATACATACCTAAACTTTTTATTCATTGCACACTGTCTTGTAATTTTACGTTATCCATTATTAATCACAAATTTACTAAATACGTATTTTTAAGTGATCCGCGTTCAAGTGACAGACTGCGAAAAACGTAAAAATACGTTACCCGCATGCCAAATGTTAAAATATAGATTTTTATTTGTTTATTCGTTAATGATACTACCACTCGTGTAACTTACACAATTGTTCCGATAATTAAACTCTTATGTAAAAGTTGAACAAAACAAAAATAACTAACTGTATAGTACACCTGTGTGGTGTACTTTTTAACTATTAATTAAATAATTAACATCCATGTTCGAATGTTTCTACTACTTTTTTTGTTTTTTTTTTCTATTTTCAGACGAAACTATAACAATTCGAAATAAAAAAACAAAAAGTAGAGTGAAAGAGAAATCCTGGTTGCAGTGGCGTTTAGTCGAGCCGAAATAATTGGCGCCTAAGAAGAAAAGGATAATAAAAAAAAAAAACAAAAAAAAATGGAGGAAAATTGGTCTTACGAAACGATCATCATTATCGTTTTGAAGAAGGAGAGAGAAGATGAGAGAACTGATAAGCCAACCAACGAGTTGTACTATTGCATGAGAGTGGGGGGGGTGTAGGATT